AAATTGATATTGTTTTAATCCTTAGTGTCTTGTTAGTGTCTTGTTAAGCCCTTGTTAAGTCAAGGGCTTTATTATTCAACGAAACAAAAATTTCCTTTCAAAGTGTCTCCCTCTTCTATTATTACTTAAAAGCAAAGCAAGTATTTTTTTCCCAACACTGATTATAAAAACAAGGATTCCCAACCCTTCATATTAACTTTAAGGCATTATAGGTAAGCTACACAAATCTTTCCCAAATCTACCTTTAGTAAGAGGATGAAAAAGCAGATAAACCCAAAACATCAAAAAGTTGAGTTTCTATTATAGAAGATATTTTCTTTTAAAATTTAAAGTTTTCCTTTAGGCATGTTGATTAACTCTTCACAATTCTTTTATCTAAGTTTTAATATTTTAATTGGGAAAATAACTGTTGCTGTTTTCTCTCATAAAATTAAAATGCCTTTTCCAACTCACTTGGCTTCCTTCTTTGCAAAAGTTTAACATGTATTTCTATTCTGAGTTATTTTGTATTTACATAATGCTGCAATACCTTAAGATTTAGCCACTTCTATGAATATCCTATATCCCAGCACCCCTCTTGCCCATAGGACAATCTATCAGCAGTCACAGAAAGTGCTAGTAGTATACTTTATGCATTGACATCTGCAAAGCAGTAGGGGGAGTAGCCAGAGAAAACACTAAGAAAAAGCATCCTGGAAAAGCAGTTTAATTTATAGGCAACAGAAACATGCTAGAGATGTTTGCTAAAAACCAAATATACAAAATAAATTCCATAAAGAAGTCATGACCACATTTGCAAAGCTGGCCTAAGTACATTTGGAATGAACTATAGAAAAACAAGTCTCTTAGAAGGATGCTTGAATCCTAACTTCAAGACAGACTTTCAGCTTAAAGTATGGTAGTTTCCGGCAATGCCAAGCCTCAAACTGCCCCCAAAATTAGAGAGTAGAAACAAAACACATTTTTATAGTGGTATGTTTTGGGGAGAACTCAAAATGATTTTGTTTTCTCCTTCAAACATCGCTGCATTCACACTAAAGGCCTGATGAAACATGCATCATTAGCTCACAAGAGGATAAGGTTATACAGGCTTCCCTGGCATAATCCTTGAAAGCCCTTAGGTCCAGATCCCTGTCGTCTCTCCTCTCCACCAGCTCCCATTCTCAATATACCTTCCATGAGAGAAAGGTAACCAAAAACATAGTGAAACTATTCTGCATTAAAACGTATTTTGCTAAAAAGGTACATTAGCTTTGCAAAATCTAAACAATAGGAGGGAAATCTGCCCACCAATTCCCATTATGTTTTACATGTTATAAAAGTTAAATAAGGTCTGTGTTTTCAGTTTTAGAGTAAAAGAGAAAAAGTACTTAGCTCCTCTGTCTGGCACTCTGTAACTGGAATTTAAGAAAAGCCTAAACTTCTAATTAGAACTTTAATATGTGTATGTCTATATTATGCCAAAAATATTGTAAATATAATGTAAGCATTTTTTATAATACAGACATGTGCACTTGAGACAGTTATCTAAGAATTATATTATAAAAATCCACGAAACTTTAAATGTCTAGCATAAATTAAAACTAAATGGTAAAAAAACTTTTAGCCAAGTAGGCAACCAATGAAGTTTGACCTGAACCCCAAATAATACCAGTAACAAGTGATAACTGGTAGTGCCCACTATTGTCAGACACTGTATTAGCCAGCTGTTTTATATATATTCTTTTGAACTCTTACACTGATCTTTCAAAATAGCTATTATTATACCCATACTATGCTAAGGAAACTGAAGCTAAAAAGTTGAAGTATTTCTCTAACGTAACTCAGCTAGCAAGGAACAAAACCATGATTCAACTTCCAGGTCTGTCTGCCTCCAAAGCTTTGAGACCTCACTAAAAAAAATCATCCTCAACTGTAGCAATGAGGTTCCAGAGGAAATATATACAAATCTCAGGCAGATTAATGTGCTTATGAGAGTAAATGCTGTAGATTTAATCACTCAAATTAAATGCCATCTGGAATCTCTTACCCCGCTTGGTACAAGCATCCTACATGTGTTACAGCCAACCTTGGCCTTGGCCAAGAATTCAATAATCTTCCTGCCTTAATACTATCAACAAGCAGTATGTACATTGTAATAACAATACAGGAAATACAGCTAGTTGCTTCTAAAGCATCTTTAAAAACTGCTAATTGGGTTAGAGTCTTCTGATCAAAGTATCTATGAAATATATGAACAATTTGTTAACACAATTTGTCGAATGGTTTGGGGAATCAATTTCCTTCTTTGTAACACCCGAATCTGTCTCCATAATAAGTATTTTCTGTCATCACTTTAAAATTCTGATCTCATACTAGTGTTTTCATTGTGCTTTTTAATCTACTAGAGTAAATTTTTAAAAACCCAAGAACACAGAAAATTGTAATGATTTTTCAAAAGCAAAAAAAGGATAAACTGAAAACATTGTTAGGTTCAAACAAGTATATGTGAAAAGAATGGATGGCAATAAAACTAATAACTGAAAAGCAATGTTTCAGACCGATTCATTCATATTTAAGAGAGATATCAAGCAATGAAGTGGACGTGTGATGTACACATTTCCAGTTAAGACTGAAGGTGCGGCATCACTAACATGGCCTTCAGATCAGCTGCCCCAACTCAGTTTACGGCTCTTGTGGATGTGGCTTATTCATGCCCTTGTTATTAAGCAGAAGGGTAACTTTACAACCTCCATCAAGAACTTTTTTTCTATATATGCTAACCCTTTTTGTCCTATAAAAAGTCATGTGAGCTTAGCACTTACTTAGAATGAATGAGTTTAAAAAGAAATTAATGGCTTGGACATTTTTTTTTCCCCAGCACTGAAGACAGCATAGAAGATTCTGTGGCTTGGGCATTAAAAGTTGAAGCAACAGCTTTAGCTGAGCTCAGTTTAATTTTAAGAATAAGTGTCACATCAATAATCTTTGAACCACAAAACACAAACACAGCTAGAAAGACTACATTTTGAAAAAGGTATTATCTCACTTTACCTAGATTTCACTTCAACCAAATAAACCCATGTTCCATACTAAACCTGTAAATTAACTCAAAGTCTAATTTGGGGCCTCCACAATGAATATTTTAAATAAAACTGTCTCATTTGGTGCCTTTAAAACAAAAGAATCATTTTAAGCAACTATTGTGACCTAAAGTTTTTTCTTATCTCAAAGTATAGATAAATTACTTACTTGACAGTTGAAGTCATTTACAACACATTATTAGATTTTACATTAATTTTCAAGTTCAAACACAGGGCTCATCATTAAGAATATGAAGACATAAACAAATGTTTGCATACCACTAGATGCCTTCAGATTCTGCTCTTCCTTTTATTATACAGAATCAACCAGACAATAGAATTAAGATCTTAGGCCCACTGCAGAATGCTCCCATTCAGCATTTAGGACACTGGAGATATTCAGCTTAAGTCTACTGCTATTATGAATCAAATTAAGAAAAAAACTATATAATTTTATAAAACTAAAAATACGTTACCCAAGAGAACAATGGTACCTATGCCACAGTGGGGAGTAAGAGTCCCCTTAAAAGAGCAATAATCAGTCATTCTGATGAGGAGACGTGCCAAATTTAGAAATGAGGCCCAAACAGAAAAAGCACTATGTATTTAATCATCAGTGTGCCCAAGGGTAGGTCAGTATCTGCAGGCGGGGGGGCGAGGGGGCTTTTATTTTATTTATTAGAAGCCAACTTTTCCCTTAAACAATGCTATCAAACAATGCTATATAAACAGTATTAACTGATAGGACAATCAGCTGATATGCTATGGTATTTTTTGTAAAAACTGCATGAAAACAAAACAGGTGGGATAAAAACTATGATAAGCTTAAGAAAAAAACATCAGTTATTGAAAGATATATACACATAAACTGTAAGATGATATAACCTTCTTGACCTTGTAAATAGGGGGCCAAAAATACTTAAATATCTTTAAGAGACAACTATTATTAACTGCCACACAACATTATCAGTGTTTACTGGAGAAATCCCTCAGCCATCTGCATCCAACACGCACATGCCTCTTTTCCTGTCCCCTTAGCCAAATAGTCATTAAAAACATTCATAATCCCAATTATTGCCTTGCATAACTAAAGACAAAAGGAACAGGTTTTCCTGAAAATAAAAACTGAAAACACTCTACCTTGCCTTCCAGGCTATTTTAAGGCTGTCTCAGGCTGAAGGTTACTTCTCAGATCCCAAAACTACATTAACTGCCAAGACCAGCACCTTAGCACATATGGCACAAATGCCTAGTTGAAGCCTCTTTCTAACTGAACGACCTCAGAAAACTGGATTTTCTCTCCAAGATTAATGGAAACAAAGGTAATGATTATAATGAACCTTCTAACTTTGTTAACATTTCCTGCGGATGTATATGGCCAACTAAATATATAAAGAAAGGCTCAGTTCTTACAGGGTACCTTGACAAGTAGATAAATGAGGTTAAGGTTCCAAGTTCAGTGAACTCTTCTGAGTTTGGTTGCCCTAGGTGGTGACATTCAAGTGATTTCACTGACATCCAGTAATTCTTATTTTCAACTGGGAATCCCTAGAACACCTTTAAACAAGCAATGCTAATAGACCCTCCTGGATTTCGGTTCCAAGGGCAAAATGTCGCTTAGGAACTCTGTATTCTGGGGGTACTCAATCAAACTATGTCAAAGTTGCTTCTGCAAAATGTTTAATTTATCTGGAATGAATAGAAGAGAGAGGGAAAGCATGGAAACAGGAACCCTCCTCCAAAGGAGCACAATAGCCAACATGCAGTTGGCGTGACAATTCTCTCATATTTCCCGGGGACATAGGAACTGGTGGCTTCACCAACGTGGGAATCAGCAGCTTAGGGGCGTCAGGGACAGCAGAACTGGGGCTTACCTTGTTGGAGGCCATCTCACTGACAGAGTGCCTAGTCTGTAGGGTCTCTAGCTGGTCCAGACACCAGTCCAGTTCCTCCAGGGTCTCGCTGGCCAGTTTCTGGTAGGCCTCCTCTGCGAAGAGACAGGGAAAGGGGGACTCAGTTCTCAAGCGCTTCACGGGGCCGCCAGTGAGTTCAAAGGGGGCCATCCTGCCATACCCCGCCATGCTCGGATGCCCGGTGCTGGCACATGAGGGCTGCTCCTTCATATTGCCGAGCCCGGCAGCAGGACGGGGGCCCGGGCTCTGCTCGCGGGGCGGCCAGCCTCGGGAAGGCAAGGTCTCTCCAGCTTGGCGTCTCGGTCGGCCTCCCAGAAGGGCGCGCGAAGAGCGGCAAACGAACTTTTACACGGGGACACGGGCGGAAAAACCACGATGCGACTTTTGACGGCGCGGCGGGCCCGAGTCCTAGTCCGGGAGCCCCTCTCTGGAGGATGGCGAAGAGGCTGGCGCGCGCGCCTCGGTGCCCGCCCCGCGGAGGAGCTCTGGTCCACGGCCCGATCTCCTCGGTCCCCGGCCCCAGCCCGCCCCGCCTGCAGAGCCTTCTGCGCGGCACTTGAAGCGAATGAATCAGCCGCGGCCGGGTGCGCGGCCACCACGTTTCCTGTTTTCTTTCTCAACTCCTTGGGCGGCGGGCGCAGCGCGGCTCCATCGCCGCGGCTTTCCGGGAACACTCCCCCTCACGCCCCTCACGGCCCTCGGCGCTGCCTGGCTCCTCCTCAACCCCCTTGAAAAAGATTCCGAATTGCAACAGCCTGTCCGTGCCACCCGCCGCGTCCTTCCCCTCAGCCCCAGCGCCGCCTCGCCGTGCCATCACCCGGCGCAACCCGGCGCCGCTCACTTTGAAGCGCAGCCGGGGAGGCACGGGCGTGAGCGTGTGTGTCTGTGGAGCTGCTGTGGGGCTGCCTGTGCCAGGAGAGCTGCGGAAAACCCGGCGTGGAGCGCCTGCAGCCCGCTGCCCGGGGTCGCGCCCGCCGCGGGGCTCAGGAGGGACCCGGCGCGCAGGCGCGCACGGCCGCGCACCTGCCCCGCGGGAACCCCACGCGCCCCGCCGAGCCGCTGCCCCTCCCGGTCGCCCCGACTGCCAGAGCCGTCGCGTTTCCACCACTCGCTGCTTCCTGCGAAGTTTCATGGGAGAGACCGGCAGGCGGCACAAACAGGGTTATTTAGGACCCGCGCAACCGTTTCTGAGGGTTTAGGATTTACCTACTCCAAGGAGGCAGGGTTGTGGGAATAATAGCATTTCTATGAAGACCAGATTCTTTCTGTACCTAGGTCAGCCCTTACTAAGTACCAGACTTTTAAATTTTGGGGTGGACATAAACAGGCAAGCAAAATATACAATGTTGTGGGGTCTGAAAGCTTTAGAATTCACAGATAGGACAATATGCTGCATTTTCACATTAAGCATTGCCTAGTAGTTATCTTAAAGTAACAGCAACGTGAATGAACCACATGGTAAAGGAGAGTTTACACTCATCTTGCATAAGTACTCCCTTCCTCTGTGACATTGCACAAGACCAAGATGATCTTGTGGTGCCAAGGAAGAAAATCTGGCAGGGTATTTCTGCCCACCATGGGCGGAATACACTACAAACATGAGAAAATTAAAAGACCATATCCAAAGGCAACACAGGGAAGCCGATTCTACTTACCAAAGCTAACCCAGGGAACCAGGCACTCTTCCTAAACTGGTCAGTTGCAGGAGAATTTCACTACACTTGCGTGTGATAAGCAAACCATTCAGAGGGGGAAAAACTCAAATTCTCAAGAATCTGTCTTATAAAACTATCAATAGAAGATATTAAAGAGCTTACATGAAGTGGTGGAATCCCTTTTCTTTGTCTTAAATCTGAGGTATTGATGAAGAAGAAATTCTCCCCTTGAAATTTAGACTCCGTAAATGATCAGTGGCACAACAAAGAAATTCATGGACTGAATCTCAGGCTTCTGGGATTTTCCAGACAGATTTTTATATAAAATTTGTGAAAGAATAACTTTCAAGATATTTGTTACATGTGCGCTGTGTCTTATTGTTATCAAGAATTCTTGAACTGTTTACTATTCACTTTGAGTACTCTAGGTTAAAATTTGTCTTTTTTATTCTACTTTTTTTTACCTGCAAAAACCTCTATAAATATATACTTTAGGTGAACAAACAACTGCCTAAACCTTGCCAGGTGAATTAAAGTTTAAGACTGAAGCTTTTATTCCTTAACAAATGAAACAACCTTAAAGATAATTTTAAATGGTCAGTATAAAATACCTTTTTGTACAGCTTTTCCTTAATTATAAGAATGTAAAAATATTACATGGTTGTTACAAAAATTGAAACATTAAACACAGACGTTAGAAAGTCCCTTGTAATCCCACACCCTGAAGATCATGAGCAATAATTCAGCCTATGACCATAACACAATCATTTTCATTTTACTGAATACCTTCCATATGCAATTACAGTATTATCAAGTTGCCATGGTAGTGTATCTATTATATGGTTTGGTTTGGTTTGGGCTTTTTTCCTCCCTATACTATATAAAAAAGGAATGTAGAAAATTATTTTATGGTCATTTGAATTGTCCATAGTTAGCATATCCAGTGGGTTAAAGATGCACATAGCCATTGTCTCTGAGATTTGTTCACTGCCATTTTTTCACTCACTGGTTACATCTGGAAGCCAGGAGTCCTCTCTAAGTTTTGGCTTTCCAATATCCTCTCCCCTGCACTCCAACTTCTCAAAGCCTGAGCCCCAGGGGACCTCCCAGGAAGTAAGTAAACAGTCCCTTCCCCCACCTTTACCAACTTCCCAAAGCTTTTCGGAAATCAAAAGTACAAATTCAGGCCTCTGACCTAGCAGGATGTGGCTCCACGTATTATATTTCAGTCTTTTTTTTTTTTAATGTGGAAAAGTAATTCAAGAAAGTTTCAGGTTAATGCTTCAAGACATTATGTGCTTAGATACAGGATTTGCTCTTGAGAAGGTAGTACGACGACAAGAGGGGCAATTTTTTCCAGAATATCCATTTTATGTCCAAGTCATGCATTATAGCCATTTTGACAATCAGGATTGGGTATGATCATAATGTGGTGTAAACATGTATTTTAAGTTCTAACATCTTTTGCATGTATTGTATAAATCTGAAGAGTGAAAAATAAGTCACCAAAACACATTTATATAACCAGTAAGAAAATAATTATTAACAAAAGAGTAAAGAATAGTTTATTCTGTAAAACTGTTGCTCAATTGAAGAATTATTCCTGATATTAGCATAGAGCTGAAACTATTACTTTTTTTTCAAATTCCTAGGTTAATAGGCAATATGGCTAGCCATAGGTTTTCAGCATCATTATTAAAGCTTCACTTTTAGGAATTTTAACCCCAAATGTTCTAAGACATCAAGTAACTGACCTTTTCATCCCTACCAAAAAAGCTTCAATGTGGAGTTGTCAGCTATCCCACAGGAAATTGAGTCACCATACCAAACAACACACCTAAATGTCGACAGCTAGCAAGACAAAAACAGTGAGCCAGTTTAATTTTGGCTTTTACCAAGAACACATACTGCATTCATTAATAAAATACTTTTCCTCCCAGAGAGGAGTATATACTGTGGCTCTCCTTAAAAATATATGAAAACTCTTCTATTTAACTGTCCAAAATCTTGCTAAGTCAAGGAACTAAAGAGAGAAAAAAAAATCCAAGCAAAAACTATTGGCTAAATTCCCTAAAAACTAGGAGAGGGCTATGGAACAGCAACCAAGAAATAACTTGAGCCTGGAAGTCCCCTCCTATACAGCATTGGCTTTCTTCAAGGCACCCTGGAACTGTGTGGCACCCGTGTTCTGCTCAGGCTCTTTTGTGAACAGACAGTTCTCAATTCTTGCGAGCCAGCACTTGGCTTCCGTCATTGTGATGGGCTCAAGGGTTCCCTTGACACATGGCCTGAAACCGTTCCAGAGGCTCCAGGAGAAGATGCTGAAGCAGCAGCTCCCCTTTCAAAAGGAAAAACGGAATCACCTCAGAGCCACAGCAGTTAGCTAGAGGTTGAGGTTGTTTTCTTGTGACATGTTCAGCCCATTACTCTCACCCACAACATAGAGTGCTGTTGGCCATTGAGGTAAAAGGATCTACTCTACAGGAGGTGTAACTGTGTGGATGTTGGTTTCTTTGCCAACACTTGAAGGTCTGCTGAAGGTCTGTATAAGTTTGCCATAATTCCTAGACAGACCTATTGGTTTAAAAATAAAAAAAAAACTGCATTAAACAGCTCCTAAGGGCACTACTTAAATATGTATCTCCCTAACCAATTCCAGTTTCTCCTCTCCTAATTCCTACCAAAATTCCCTCTTTGTTCCTTAGGAAGGAGTTGGTAATGTCTGAAGTAGGTAGAACTGCAGAAAATGATTTCTGTTTTACCATGTATTGCTTTGAGCTAGTCACTCTTGAGTTTGCTTTTTTTGCAGGTTAGTTCTAACTTTTGCTGACTTAATATTTTTCCTCTATACATTTTATCTGATGGGAAATACATGAAGGCTTTGGATTCTCTTTCAATGTGTACATGTTACAGGTTTAAGCAGAGCTTGCCAGTGGCAAGCTGTTGTCATTTCTAAGTGTATTTCTGGCATCAAGTTCTTGTTTTGAAGTCTTCTAAAATCTTATAAAATATATATGATTTTACTTAGTAGTTCAAAAAACTTCCAAAGTGGAGCTGCGCATAATTTTGTGAGGGTTTTTTTTTTAATCTTCCTGCCATCTACAATTTTTTTTCTAGTGCTGCCTAAAGTGCTAGTAAAATTTTTTAAATGAAATAAACACAGGATTGGCTTTCACTGACTTCTAGTCCCACTAGTAACTCGACATTTATTTAGCAGCAACTGTGTGTCATATGCTTTATTAGAGTCTGCAGAAACAAGGTCACTGAGAGTGTGTCCCTTATCTAGCAGTGGAGACAATTTCAGCACACTAGACTGTAGAAAGCATTCTGACAGAAGGAAGCAAGTGGTTATAGGACAGTAAAAGAGGGCTATTTAAATCAGACCGGGACAGAGGTAGAGTGAGAAAAAGCTGAGTCCTAAAGAATGGAATAGAAAGTAAGTGAAGAGGGTGGGAATGAGTTTTAAGTTAAAACAACATGAGCAAACACATGACCACCAAGTTGTGTATGTGTATGTAGAAAAAGGAAAATTTCCTTGAGTAGGAACTTGCTGAGGCAAAAGGAGGCTAGAGAAATCTGCAAAATCTGCAGAAGTCTTGTCAGGCATCTGTAGCTAGGAGCTCTAGACTCTGTAAACTTAGGAGCCACTGAGTGATTCAGAGTGCTGTATGATATGGGATCTGATTTTATTTTGGATGGGAAATTCTAGCATTGTGCAATAAATGGGATTGAAGGAGGTAAGGTTGAAGTCAGTGAGACCATTATCCTTGACCATATTATTGCTAGAATAAAATTAAATAATTTATAGACCATTTGCTTCTCTAATGATCATTCTTATCTATCTCTGTAATAAAATCCTACATAGGCATAAGTTCCCACGATATATCAGGCCCACTGTGACTTGATAGGGGGTGGGCTTCTTGTTCTTAAAAACTACAACCTTCGCAGGCCAGGCGCGGTGGCTCACGCCTGTAATCCTAGCACTCTGGGAGGCCGAGGAGGGCGGATTGTTTGAGCTCAGGAGTTTGTTTTGATTGAATTCACCAAAGGGATTGAGCTTGAAGGCAAGGATGGCCCAAGCAGAAATGTCTGCCTGAGCTGACATTGAAGAGAAGAGCCAGAGAAAAAGGATAAGGCTTTTGGAACCCAATGTAAAAATAGGGAGGGCTCTGTCAAAGGCATTGGAATAGCCATGTTTAATTAGACATCTGGGTTGGGGGCTCTGTGTGACATGTGTTTACCTATCAGCAATATTATTCCTTGAAGGAAACTAGAAGAGTGGGAAAAGTTTCCCATCTCTATTCTACTACATATAAGCCACCATTCCAGGCAATTCACCTAATCTTTCTGGGATTTTATTTGTTTCACCTAGAGATTGAAGATAATAACAAGAAGCTTTAGGTTATTTTAGTTCAAGTGAGAGATTGAGAGTTAAATAAACTTGCATTGCTTATCTAATAGAT